AAAGATGCCGGCTTTACCATAAAGGATACGGCAGCAATTGGTAAGATATTCCTGGCCACCAATAATAATGCAACCATCAAGCTGGAGCGTACGCCAAAGGGCTGGATCGTCAATGATAAATACAAGGTGCGCAAAGGCACTTTTGACATGCTGATGCAGGCCCTTCAATACCAGGAACCGCGTACACCGGTTTCTGAGAAGATGCATAATAATATTGTGAAATCACTGATGGGCGGGCATATTAAGGTAGAAGTTTACAATATAAAAGGCGAGAAGATGCGTACCTTTTATGTGGGTGGCGAAACCGGCAGCGGCACCGGTACCTATATGCTGATGGAAGGCGGATCGAGGCCTTATATTGTACAGATACCTGGCTTTACCGGCTATCTGACCCCGAGATACCTGCCCGAGCTGAAAGACTGGCGCGACCGTACCGTGTTTAATATTGCCCCGGAAGACATCGACCAGATCACCGTGAATTATCCCAAGGAGCCGCTGAACAATTTTGTGATAACCCGTGCCGGGAATGAGGTAAAGGTGACCATCGATCCGGCCCTTACGGTAGACAAAACGCTGAATAAAAAACGCGCAGAAGATTACGTCGGGTTCTTCGGCAATATCAATGCGGAGCAGGTGCTCAACAATATTCTGGGTGTGCGCGAAAACATCAGCAATATGCCGCTTATCTGCACCATTGATGTAAAAGGAAAAAACGGCTACCACCAGGATGCCGATCTGTACTTTACCCCGCTCACCAGGCGTAGTAAAAACCTGGTTGCAAACGGAGCAGATACAGCCAGTGGGTTCGACTCTGACCGCCTCTATGCTGTAATTAACGGCAAGCAGGATACCTTCCTCGTGCAGCGGATGATATTTGATAAGCTCTTCCGGATGGGGTATGAGTTTTATATGCAGGATGCGCCGCCGGCAGAGCCGCGTGTCAATGTACCACAGGGGCTCAACTAGATCCGCTGTGCAGTAATCAGGATAACCATAGGAGCAGGTATTGTGCCTGGCGCCTGAAGTAAG